CGAATGTGTTTCTTCAAAAGAGGTAGGTATTATTTTTATTTGCATATAGAGACTTTACAGTCAGCATTTTCTGATCTAGCAAATGTAGACAATATTTGGAAATTTAGAAACTGAAAAGTTTGAAAGGTTTAAAGTTTAGTACTGTATGAGAATTAAATGTTAGATATGTTTCATTTGTGAAAAGAAGCTTTTTTTTTTTTTAAAAAAAAAAAAACAATTTTGAAAGTGTGGGACTTCTAAGTTGGTTGGCAGCATTCTCTGTTGCCAGTGTGTGCTGCATGCAGCCTGCTACGCACCAGTGGGCGGCCCTGGGCTCGGCTTTCGCTTTCTTCTGAGGGACTGCTTTGGGTAATTCTATACAGGTGTCATTAAGGGGCCAGGGAAGAGTTCTTTTTGTTTCTGCTGTGACTGTGTCCTTGCTCTTTTGGCTCAAGCCAACCTTTCAGCTGGGCTGGCGGCAGTGCCTGCAGTTGCAGCAAAGGGAGGCTGAAGTGGGAGGATTGCTTGAGCCCAGGTTCAAGGCTGCAGTGAGCTGTGATCATGTTTGTGAATAGCACTGCATTCCAACTTGGGTGAAATAATAAGACTCTATCTCTAAAAAAACCCAACCTTACTTTTTTTTCCAGGTACTATTTTGAAGCGCTGGAAGAAGAACTGGTTTGATCTGTGGTCGGATGGTCACCTAATCTATTATGATGACCAGACTCGGCAGAATATCGAGGATAAGGTCCACATGCCAGTGGACTGTATCAACATCCGCACGGGGCAGGAATGTCGGGGTGAGCTGGCCTGTCTTGGCCAACTTCTGTCTTCTGCTCTTCCTCTGTCTCGGTGGGAACTGGGTCCTCTTCCTTCCTTTTTGTGTATCAATTAAGAAAGCTCTTGTGATACTTAAGATTCAGATATCTAGTTTCTTTGACAATATAGTGGAAAGTAGGTAGGTATAGAGATTGTTAGAATAGTTTTGCAGGGCCATTTGGCAATACCTGCTGAAATAAATTATGTTTATATCCTTTGATGTGGCATTTTCAGTCTTTGGAATTTGCCCTATGGAAATGTCTACATAAGAGTGCAAGGGTAATAGGGATGTTAGTAGCATTCTTTTCTTCTTTTTTTTTTCTTTTTCTTGAGATAGAGCCTCTCTCTGTCATCCAGGCGGGAGTCCACTGGTGTGATCTTGGCTCACTATAGCCTTGACCTCCCAGGCGCAAGCCATTCTCCCACCTCAACCTCCCAAGTAGCTGGGACTACAGGCATGTGCCACCATGCCCAGCTAATGTTTGTATTTTTTGTAGAGCTAGGATTTCACTATGTTGCCCAGGCTGGTTTTGAACTCCTGGGCTCAAGTGATCTCCCTGCCTTGGCCTCCCAAAGTGCTGGGATTACAGGCATGAGGCACTACATCCGGTCTCCAGCATTCTTTTTAATGTTGAAAATTGCTAATAATCTACATTTACTTGTATCATGGAATATTATATAGCTGTTAAAAAGGAAGAAGATCTGTGTGTATGCCATGAACTGACAAAGCAAGTGGCAGTGCATTTCACATTTATTAAAAAGTAAAAAATACAGTATAGATTATGTTTTAAATATTATGTATCTATTATGGATGTAATTTTTAAAAATATATATTCCTAGTGCATGTCTCAAGTGGTTTGGGGCAAGGCCTGAAGACCTGTTCTTTAAACAGATCTTTTCAGGAATTCTGATGCCAACTCTGGTTTGAGAATCATTGAAATACTGGATTGCCTTAAATAGAGTACCCTTTTTCTTTTCTCCAGGGCCTGGAAATTTACACTCCAGGATTCTAGGACAAACACAGTAAGTTACTAATGACAATCACCTATAATTTTTTTTTTTTTTTTTTTTGACAAGGTGTCACTCACCCAGGCTTGAGTGCAGTGGTGCTATCTCAGCTCACTGCAGCTTCTACGTCTGGGCTGAAATGGTCCTCCCACCTCAGCCTCCCCTTCCCAGTAGCTGGGACTATAGGCCCATGCTGCCATGCCTAGCTTGTTTAGAAAAATGTTTTTGTGGAGATGAGGTCTCAGTATGTTACCCATGCTGGTATCAAACTCCTGGGCTCAAGTGATCCTCCCACTTTCGCCTCCCAAAGTGTTGGGATTACAGGCGTGAGCCACCACACCTGGCCACCAGTAATGTTTTCACATGGTCTTATGTAACAATTGGAGAATGGGGAAAATGGGTTTCTTGGCCATCCAGCCGTGAATGGGCAGGTAGCACTGGGCAGGCGCCTTTCACCAACAGTGAGCAAGCTGGGTTTGTCAAACGTTTTTGGCAGGAAGCACCCTCCTCACACAAGCATGCTTGTTCCAGTGTTGCTTTCTAGAAACGTGTGTATTTCTCAAAGTTCTGCAACACTTTGAATTCTGCTGTGGTTTGCAGTAAAGGCTTAGAAAGAACTGCAGGATCCTTTTCGTGCATAGGAGCTCAGCCTTGTGAAACAAACATTTTTGTGACTTGTACTTGTCTCTCGTCCTGTTTCTGGCCTTAGGAGGTCACAGAGACAGTGAACCTCATTTGTAAGAGCCTTGTAATGCCATCTTTATCTGTCAGGGATCAAGGGAGTGTTACTCTGGTCAGAGTTTTCATTCTTTAGATGGGATTTTCCCTTCCTTTATCTTTGTAAGAAAAGAAGAAGGTGGATCAAGCTTACAGAAGAATGTGTGCATGTGGGAGAAGAAAGTAAAAGGCTTAATATCAAAGCGTCAGTGTTCTCTTCTTTTGTTAGCACAACACAACTTCATTCTAAGCTTACTCTACAGCCGCGGTTACCTTTTCTTCATGAAAATCCTTTTTTTGGGGTAAAATTAGTATTAACGATCCATATAGTTAAGGGCAAGCTCCACAAATGATTCTTTGTGTGAATTTTTTTTTTTTTTGAGACAATCTTACTCTGTCGCCCAGGCTGGAGTGCAGTGGAGCGATCTTGGCTCACTGCAACCTTTGCCTCCCGGATTCAAGCAGTTCTCCTTTCTCAGCCTCCTGAATAGCTGGGATTACAGGAGCATGCCACCACGCCCAGCTAGTTTTTGTATTTTGAGTAGAGATGGGGTTTCACCATGTTGGTCAGGCTGGTCTTGAACTCCTGACCTCGTGATCTGCCTACCTCGGCCTCCCAAAATCCTGGGATTACAGGCGTGAGCCATTGCACCTGGCCACATTTTTTTTTTTTGAAGAGCTAACATGTTTTTCTTTAAATTACATTGGGGAGTAATTTAATGAAGAATTTTGTTTTTTAAGGTAAAAAACAGACTGTGTATAGGACATATCTCTGATACGTTTTAGATTGTAGGGTTTTTATTTGTGAATAAAGGACTGTTGAGAGTGCTGTAACATCTTTATTTCTTTGGAGACAGAGTCTCGCCCTGTTGCCTGGGCTGGAGTGCAGTGACTCGATCTTGGCTCACTGCAGTCTGCAGCTCCCGGGCTCAAGTGATCCTTGCGATTTAGCCCCTGGAGTAGCTGGGGCCGTAAGCACCACGCCCGGTTAATCTCTTGTTGGTTGTGGAGGTGGGCTCTCCCTCTGTTGCCGCTGGGGCCGTAAGCACCACGCCCGGTTAATTTCTTGTTGGTTGTGGAGGTGGGCTCTCCCTCTGTTGCCTAGGCTGGCCTTGGAACCTCCTGGGTCTAGCCGATCCTCTCGCCAGCCTCCAAAGTGTTGGATTACAGATGTGGACGCATTGCACCTGGCTGAAGTAACATCTTTTAAAAGGCATTGGGTAACAGTGGGGCCTCTGAGTGCCTTCCTGGCTGTGAAGCTGTAATCCTGTTAGGGGTTGAGTGAGGAGCACTTCCCTCCTGCATTTAGAGGATCCAGAGTAGGGCTGGGGGCCCCACTGGACCGGGAAAGTTTTTCCTATTTTGCAGAGAGCTATATATCTGTTTGTCTTTTAAAATTTTTATTTGCTAAATAAAGGGACAATGCACAGCATCATTGAGCACACAGGTGCTGGGAAGCTGTCCTGCCCTCACCCTCTCCTCTCTCCCCGCAGGCGTATGTGGGCCTCTGCAGTCTGACTGATACGAGACCACTCATCGTGACGGTTCCATCGCCTCCACCATACACGGCCTATGCTGCACCGGCCCCTGAGGTAGGGAGAACCCTGAGCCTTCAGGTGAGGGAAGCTTGGGATCTCTGCTGCTGTCCTGCTTTGTTTTTTGAATGAAATTAGAAATGTACTCTAAACCTTTTCTTCTTAAAACAGATGATTTCTTACCAACTTTTGTTTTCATGAAATAAAGCAACTATTTTATATAGTTCAGCACATTGTAATATGCTGTATTAATGTGTAACAAGTTTTTAAGATCTAAAAATGCATCATGTTAATGATAGTTGCTTTGGGTAATGAGATTTTGATGATCTGTAGTTTATATGGATGAATTACTCGAATTCTCCTTATAGTCAGAAAAAAATGCTATATTTTGGGGAAAATAATCCTTACAAAAATCATGTCAATAACTTTGGGATGTCCTCTTGTTGGGGTGCTTGGGGTGCTGACTGAGCTGTTTGTATGTAAGTCTGTTGTGTGGAACGCTGCCTTTTTTTTTTTTTTTCTTTGAGATGGAGTTTTGCTTTCTTGCCCAGGCTGGAGTGCAGTGGCACTATCTCGGCTCACTGCAACCTCTGCCTCCGGTATAAGCGGTTCTCCTGCCTCAGCCCCCCGAGTAGCTGGGATTACAGGCGCTTGCCACCATGCCCGGCTATTTTTTTGTCTTTTTAGTAGAGGTGGGGTTTCACCATGATGGCCAGGCTGCTCTCGAACTCCTGACCACAGGTGATCCACCTGCCTCTGCCTCCCAAAGTGCTGGGATTACAGGCGTGAGCCACGCGCCTGCTGGCACTTGTAAACTTTCTAAGCTCACTTACTCTAGTTCCTTTTTCTGTAGATTCTTTGGGGTATACTACATAGGCAATCATGTCATCTACAAATAGGAACAGTTTTCTTTGTAACTTGTATGCCTTCTGTTTCCTTACCTTGCCTTATTGCCTTGGTTAGACCTTCAGATATTATGTTGAATAGCAGTAGTGAGAGAAGACATCCTTGCCTTGTTCGATTTTAGGGGGATGTATTCAATGTTTTTCTTTTTTTTTTTTTTTTGAAACAGAGTCTCACTCTGTCGCCAGTGGAGTGCAGTGGCATGATCTTGGCTACTGCAAGCTCCACCTCCGGGTTCACGCTATTCCTGCCTCACCTCCCGAGTAGCTGGGACTACAGGCACCTGCCACCATGCCCAGCTAAAATTTTTTTTTTTTTTTTTTTGCATTTTTAGTAGAGATGGGATTTCACCTGTTAGCCAGGGGTGGTCTCGATCTCCTGACCTCATGATCCACCCACCTCTGCCTCCCAAAGTTTTGGGATTATAGGCGTGACCACCGCGTCCGGCCAGTGTATTCAGTTTTAAGTATGCATTCATTTAGTATTAATGTACTGTTTAATTCAGTATTTAATTAGTGTTGAATTTAGTTTTTACGTATGCATTTATTTAGTATTTAATGCATTCATTAAGTATGCTGTTAGCTGGAGGTTTTTTATATTTATTCTTCATCAGGTTAGAATTCCCTTTTTCTAGTTTCCAGGAGTGTTTATCGTGACGGGGTGTCAGTTGCCTCCTTCCTGCCCTTCCTGCCTTCTTCCTCCTTCCTCCTCCTCCTCCTCCCCCTCACCCACCAGAGATGAAGACTCACTCTCTTGCCCAGGATGGAGTGCATGGTACTATCATTAGCTCACTTCAGCCTGGAATTCCCTGGGCTGAGGCAATCATCCTGCTCAGCCTCCTGAGCCACCACAGCTGCAAAAAAAAATTTTTTTTTTGGTAGAGACAGGGTCTTGCTCTGTTGCCCAGGGTGGTCTTGAACTCCTGGCCTCAAGTGATCCTCCTGCTTCGGCCTCCAAAGTGATTTTGTTAAATACTTTTTCTACAGTAATTAATATGATTGTGAGGTTTTGTTTTTCTTTTTAGCCTGCTAATATGGTGGATTATAGTGTTTGGCTTTCACATACTGAACCAGCCTTGCATTCCCTGGAATAAAACCTACTTGGTCATGGTGTATGATTCTTTTTATTTATTGCTGAATTCAATTTGCTAATATTTGTTAAGGATTTTTGCATCTATATTTATGAAGGATATTGGTCTATAGTTTTCTCTTTGTGCTTTGTCTTATTTTATCAAGGCAATACTGACCTTATAGAATAAATCGGAAAGTGTTTTCTGCTCTTTTCTTTTTTGGGAGAAATTGTGTAGAACTGGAGTTAATTCTTCTTTAAAATTTGGTAGAAATCTCCAGTGAAACTATCATGTCCTAGAGGTTTCTTTTTTGGGAGATTTTAAATGACAACATCTGTTTTCTTTTTCCTTTTTTTTTTTTTTTTTTTGAAACGGAGTCTCACTCTGTGCCCACGCTGGAGTGCAGTGGTGCAATCTTGGCTCACTGTAAGCTCCACCTCCTGGGTTCACACCATCCTCCTGCCTCAGCCTCCCGAGTAGCTGGGACTACAGGTGCCGCCACCACGCCGGTGAATTTTTTGTATTTTTTAGTAGAGACGGGTTTCACCATGTTAGCCAGGATGGTCTCGATCTCCTGACCTCATGATCCACCTGCCTCAGCCTCCCAAAGTGCTGGGATTACAGGCGTGAGCTACCGCGCCCGGCCTCTTTTTCTTTTTGTTTGGCTTAACCAACACACGTCTATTTGTCACAGTTCTGGAGGCTGAAGGCCCAAGATCAAGGTGCTGGCAGTGTTGGTTCTCCCGAGGCCCCTCCTGAGCTTGCACATGGCCTTCTCCTCCCTGTATCCTCATATGACCTTTCCCTCCAGGCCTACTGCAGATGCAGCTTTCTTAATAGTGACTGGTCTACTCAGATTCTCTAGTTTGCATGGAGTAGGTTTTGATAGTTTGTAGTGTTTGTGGAATTGTTCCTTTTCTTATAAGTTGTCTGATTTATGTGTGTAGAGTTCTTTATACTGTTTTCTTATTATCCTTGTGTGTCTGCAGAGTCTATAGTAAAAATCCTCCAGTTCATTCTTTCCTGATACTGGTAATTTGTCTTTGCTCTTTTTGACAGTTTAGTAAAGGTTTTATTAATTTTATAAATAGCTTCAAAGAAATAGCTTTTTGTTTTATTCACTTTTTCTGTTTCTCATTTCATTGATTGTACTCTTTTATTTCCTTCCTTCTGCTTGCTCTGTGGACTTTGGTTTTCAAAAGTTTGACTGTAATGTGTATTTGTATGGATTTCTTTGGGATTATCCTGTTTGGTATTCATTCAGCTTCTTGAATATATGGGCTTGGGTTTTTGCTAAATTGGGGAAATTTTAAACAATTATTCCTTTTTTTTTTTTTTTTTTGAGACGGAGTCTCGCTCTGTGGCCCAGGCTGGAGTGCAGTGGCGTGATCTCGCGCTCACTGCAAGCTCCGCCTCCCGGTTTAGGCCATTCTCCTGCCTCAGCCTCCAAAGTAGCTGGGACTACAGGCGCCCGCCACCTCGCCGGCTAATTTTTTTTGTATTTTAGTAGAGACGGGGTTTCACCGTGTTAGCCAGGATGGTCTGGATCTCCTGACCTCGTGATCCGCCCGTCTTGGCCTCCCAAAGTGCTGGGATTACAGGCGTGAGCCACGTGCCTGGCCTTAAACCATTATTCTTGAGTGCTTTTCCAACCTCGCCTCCTTCTACTCCTCTGGCACTCTGATGACATCCCTGTTAGTCTGATGTGTCCCAGAGATGCTCTTTTTTTTTTTTTTTTTTACTTCAATCTATTTCTCCTCTGTTGTGTTCTGATTGGGTAATTTCTACCCTTTATATTCATGTTTATGGATTCTTCCTTTTGTCATCTCCATTATGTTGTTGGGCTCATTCTTGAACTATTTAAATTGGTTATTGTATTAGTTCTGAAATTTTTATTGGTTATTCTTTATATCTTGATATATAAAAATTGAATGTATGTATCTATATACTTTTTACTGAGATTTTTCTGTTTTATGGTAGATACTTTATATTTTTTATTTATTTCAAGTATGTCATATGTTCATAATTGCTTGTTGAAAAGTTTTTATGATAGCTGCTTTAAAAATCTTTCCCGGATAATTCCAACATCTTTGCCATCTTTGTGTTTGTGTTTTTTGTTGTCTTTTCTCATTTAGTTGAGATCTTCCTGGTTCTTGGTGTGATGAATGGCTTTTGATCAAAAGCTGTACATTTTAAGTACTGTAAGATGAATCTTATTTAATATCTCATGTTTTAGAGACCCCTTCTCGGGCTGCTTTATTGCTGCCAGGTAGAGGTGGAAGTCCAGGCTCCTTGAGCCTCAGTTGACACCCATGGTCCAGGTTTCTTGTCGCTGTGGAGGAGTTGTGAATTTAGGTTTCACTAGATCTCCACTGAAATCACCCTGTCTGAGAAGAGGAAAGGCTCTTACTGCTTCCCCCAGAGCCTCCGCTGATACCTTTTGCCACTGAGACGTCCTGAAAGACTCACTCTCAGCTTGGTCTCAGTGGAATAGGGAGGGCACCGTATTTTCTGCTGGGTGGGAGTGGGGTTCTGGCTCCCCACACGGTCTCCGTGGACACCACCCAGCGGCATGGGGGTGTTTTGTTTCCATCTGGCAGGGAAGAAATTCCACC